CTATTAACACTTATCACATGCAGATGAACTAAGTGCGAAAAAAGGAAAGGTTAAGACAATCAGGGAATTTATTTGAGATGACTAGTGTAATCAAGCACAGTTCTCATTTGTTAATGACTTCCCTTTACATGCTGCACAATTAACATTTCTGTTTGAAAATCATTCTTTGAAGGAAAAATATGATATCCCTGCAAAATTTGTTGTTAATAAATATCTTATACTCTGAGAAAGTATTCATTACTTCTGGTGAGGCTTATATTTTCAGAAATTTGATACTGGAATGGCATTAATTCATCTTTTCCCCTTCTTTGACATATTATCACAGAGAGTTCTGACACATGTGAGCTGTGAATCATAGACTCAGGTATTGTGAAGAGAAAAGAGGCAGAAAATGACTTAGGAGCACTAAACATACAGCAAAAAATATATACTTCTTTAAATTTAGGTCCCATAGGAAATTAAATGAATTCAGTTACAAAAATTTCCAGAGCAAATTCAGAGCAATATAGCTCTCAGCTAAGGTAAGAACTTCTAGAGCTAGATCAGGGTAGGCAACCTATGGCACATGTGCCAAAGGCAGCACGTGAGCTGATTTTCAGTGGCACTCACACTGCCCGGGTCCTGGCCACCGGTCCGGGGGGCTCTGCATTTTAATTTAATTTTAAATGAAGCTTCTTAAACATTTTAAAAACCTTATTTACTTTACATACAACAATAGTTTAGTAATATATTATAGACTTATAGAAAGAGACCTTCTAAAAACGTTAAAATGTATTACTGGCACACGAAACCTTAAATTAGAGTGAATAAATGAAGACTCGGCACACCACTTCTGAAAGGTTGCTGACCCCTGAACTAAATAAAGCCTTTGTCTAGGCTGAACAAAAATCTGATACAGCTAGAGTGACCAGACAGCAAATGTGAAAAATTGGGACTGGGGGTGGGGCGTAATAGGAGCCTATTTAAGACCCAAAAATCGGGACTGTCCCTATAAAATCAGGACATCTGGTCACCCTAGATACAGCTCTCTGTCAGGCTTCCAGGCTAAACTCAGTGTTTCAAGCCTGGGACAAGCTTCTACCTAATCTCAGCTAACTAAGTCTTCCAAAGCTGGAGCCTAAACTAACCTCCCAACCCAGGAAAAGTCTTTCTAGCTGGAGCAAATCTTTCAAACCGGGCAGAGCATCTGCCAAAGCCAGGCTGACTAAGCGCTATGCTATTACACTTCACAACATCCCTCTGGTTATTATCTAAGAATGAGGCCCGCTGATTCCACTAGTCAGCATTTCCATATGTTAGGTCCAAGGAAAATGGAGTATAGAACAGGTTGTTTGGCCAGTTTAGCCAAAGTTAGGCTAACTGTAGTT